CTGTCTTGTTGAACTTTGATACTAGTGCTGGAGCAAGATGGTATCTCATTGTTGTTTTGATTTGCATCTCTCTAATAGCTAATGATCGTGATCTTGCCTTACTTTTGCCTTGTACTTTGGTGTTCATTACCGTCAGACATACATAGTTAATGTGCAAAGTAGCCAGATAGCTCATGTAAACATGAAATGTCAGATAACAAGATTAATTGTTAAGTTAGGGTGAGTATTATGTACTAAAAAATGTCCATCTTTCCATTCACAGTTTCTGGGTTTCTAGTCTTGGCTAAGATGGTCTTCCTGGACCTATTTGCACATAGGTGTAATTTTCCCCTGAAATTTTAGTCATTTTACAAATGCTTAATACATCACAAATATATGTATTTCTGTATAATGTGTAAGACAAAGGTCCAACTTAACTGTCTTCTTGGAAGCCAGCTGCACCAATGTCTCTTATTATACAATACGCATGGCTAAATTATAACCCTGTCATTTATAAACATTTTCACATATTTTGGAACTAAAATCTAATTTTACTACTATGCTTATTCTACTGATCTAGTTGTCTATATAATAACACACTGATTGCACTGGATGTAAAGGATCTTCTGCTATTTGGTCATTTCAAGGTTGCATTCTCTCATATAAACTTTATAATTTCAACAAATTAAAAAAAATACCATTAGGGTTCTAATTCAAACTGTATTAAATTCACATATTAATTTTTATATAATCTATACAGACTTTCTAGTATGCTTTTCTGCTGTTCAGACACTGTTTTATGTTTCAATAAGTATTATTTTCTTCACAGTCTTATGGCTTTCTTGCTGAGCTTATTCCTAGGTTAATGTGTTTCACCACTATTTTAAATGGTATTCCCCCTTCCTCACTTCTAGTCTGAGGTACTTGCTGTAGTTGAAGAAAGCCAGTGAATTTTGTATATTTACCTTAAATTCAGGCATCTTATAAAATTCTCCTATCAAGCCTAGTACTTTTTTGAGCACAGGAGTAAGTTAATTTTATTAGAGTCTCTTGTTGTTATTTGCCGTCGAGTCGGCCCCGACTCATAGCGACCCCTCCTTGGGTTTCCGAGGCAGTATCACTACGGAAGTAGGATTGCCCAACCTTCCTTCCGAGGAGTGGCTGGTGGATTTGAACTGCCAGCCTTCTGGTTAGCAGTCAAGTGCCTTAGCCACTATGCTACCAGAGCTCCCTAGAGTCTCTTAGTATTTCTAAATATTTTCCCTTCTTTTCCAATACTTTTCAAGTTTTCATTCTCTTATTTGCTACATTTCCATTTCTAATAAACAATAATGGTGATAAGTAGACATATCTGAGTAAATTCTTATTTTAACTAAGATTGTCTTAGTGTTTGTAGTTTATGATATTTACTGTTCATATTTAAGAGGCTTTCTTCTATACCTATTTTCCTTAAGGTTCTTGCTAATGAGACACAGCTACTAGACTCTCCCCATCTACTGAAACAGAAAGCTGGTTAAAGGATAAGGCTGTAATAGATTGCCTTACATTATCAACTTAAAAAATAACTCATTCCTTTGACCCAGCAGATCTTTTAGGAATTTATCCTAAGAAAGCAATAGTCAATGTGCTAGAGGTACAAAGATATTCAGTACAGTATTATCATCATAGTATTCACTATTTTTCAATAGTAAAAAAATTTAAATATTTTAATTCAAAAACTCAAAAAACCAAAAGCTCCTGAGGAATAAAATAATTACTGGAGATTAATAAAATGGAATATTATACAACTTTATATATGTGTATGTGTATACACACACACACACACACACATACATATATATCTAAATACGTAAGCTTATGCTTTTCCTCCAATTGCATGTCATCTTCTGTCTAGTCTCACTTCCCCCTGTAACTGAAGACATCTCCCAGATTACAAATGTCTGACGTAACATACAACCCTTAGTCAGAACCAACTCCTACAAAGCCTATTACATCAAAAGTTCGAGGTATATAACAATGGTTTGTAACAACACGTAGGCACGCTTTGTGACACACATCAAAACATTTTTATTATTATTACCGTATTATTATGTAAAAGATATTTTAGTGTATCTGGAAGTGCTTCTTCAATGTATTTTATGCATAAAAAAAAGATGCACTATATACTATATACTAAGACAAACATTTGACTAACTGACGTTAGATATGAACTGTATCTAACCGCTCTGACTTACGCAGAAATGTGACTTAAAGACAGACTTAGGAACAGAACTTGTTCACAATCCAGAAATTGCCTGTACAATACTACATACATAATGAAAAATGCCAAATGCAACTTTGATAAAAGCAGCCACTAAGGACAAACTGATACCACTTTCTCTGTGTCTACCTTTCAATTCCTTCTTACATTGTTTTATCTAAATTTTGCTTCATGAAAGCATATTATGAGTTAATATAATCACCATTAAATTATCAGTAATTCTAAAAAAAAAAGAGAAACAAAAAACCCACAACGTTAGTGACATTTTGTGTTTTTTTTTAGCTTAGCAATTCTAACTTGCATTTTGGAAAGAAAAGATTTAACAATTACTAAATGCTAAGTTACTCACATGAATAACTGAAGAATTCCAGAGCAACCAAATTATGATATAAAACTTACTAACATATATTCTAGATTTTGGATTAATATAGGATTGACATTTTTTTCCTATAAAAAACAAGAAAGTAGATTTAAAGCAATTATTTTCTAAAATATTAAATGAATTATAGCTGAGTATTTATTAAAGAAACTTTCTGCTAATAGTACTATTGGTCTCAACAATGCTAACTAAATTTTCAATTACTTCTCCGTACGTGGGTATTTTAGTTATCTAGTGCCTCCATAGGGAGCTCTGGTAGCATAGTGCCTAAGGCACTTGACTGCTAATCAGAAGGCTGGCAGTTCAAGCCCACCAGCCACTCCTCAGAAGGAAGATGGGGCAATCTACTTTCATAGTGATACTGCCTTGGAAACCCAAAGAGGGGTCGCTATGAGTTGGGTCTGACTTGATGGCACATAACAACAACAACAAGTGTCTCTATAACAAAAATACCACAGTGAGTAGCTTTAACAAACAGAAATGTATTTTCCCACAGTTTAGGAGACTATACATCCGAAGTCAAGGTGCCAGCTCTAGGGGAAAGCTCTCTCTCTCTGTTGGCTCTTAAAGAAGGTCTTTTTCTCTTCTGCTCTTGCATAATCTTCCTGTGGCGTGGCATCTTTCTTCCTTCACCTCTCTTTTTCTCACTTGCTTGACTGATCTTTTTTATATGTCAAAAGATACCAGCTCAAGGTACACCCTACATTATTCCTGTCTCATTAGCATAACAAAGACAACCCATTTTCAAATGGGATTATAACCACAGGCAGAGAGGTGAGAATTTACAACATATATTTTTGAGGAAATAATTCAATCCATGGGAGTTCTCGTAGCCAAGTGCCTAAGGCACTTGACTGCTAACCAGAAGGCTAGTGGTTCAAACCCACCAGACACTCCTCAGAAGGAAGGCTAGGCAATCTACTTCCGTAGTGATAGTGCCTCGGAAACCTAAGGAGGGGTTGTCCGACTTGATGGCACGTAA